ATAAGCAATGAAACAATCCTTTCTTCTTCACAAACTTGACGGACATTTTATAAGTTTTAGTGTAACGATAGTGTCAAAAGATGAGGGTGTCCCCATGATAAAAATGTCGAAATCAAAGCATCCTCGGTCTTTATGACCATACCAAAGGAGCTCGCGTTCAAAAAATTCTAATATGTACATTTCTTGGATAGAGAAAAAGATGATCCGACTCCGAGGCTGCTGCAGAACGGGAGCGGACGGTTTTCATGGTCGTGCAGTAGTCAGTGTGAAAAATGATTGTCCCTGCGATGGCTTCGAGCGAAGTATCCAAGGGAACAGCATCAAAACGAAGGAGCATGTTAGCTACTGACTATTCCCATCCCACAACCAGCCGGTCTACCTTCCCGATGAATTCAACCACTGTACGCAACACTGTCAGCTTGATAACTACAATAGCAGTCCTTGAACAACATAGGCGACCTAACAGCCTATACGAATGGCTTTTCAAAAGCCCAATTCAGGGGGAGCTTGGAGCTAACTCTGGACGGCGCATACTAGATGTCTTTCCCATGTCTTTGCCACTTCATTGGTTCTCAAGGTGGTAGCAGCAGATTTGAATGTTAAAATTTAACTCGGATGCTATTTACCGATCACTTCATATCAACTCATTAGGTGGTATTTCTTGCTTTGCGATAACCTTTCTCTGCTATTGCCTTACCCCGTGTGTGATGATGTCGGGCAAACCGCCAGGGCACGAAAGGAGGACTGCTAGGCAGTGCAGCGATAGCTCGAAACTGTGAACTTGTGAAGAACTGACCTGTGAATGTTTTGTCGCGATTTGCCAATGCAATCAAAGTGAGCTGCCCTCGAGGCCATACATGGAATACATTCGGCTCAAGTGCATACTAAAAGTATCAGTAATATTGTATGTAATTCCATGCAATAGTGTTGAAACACACCAAAATATACATCCATTAAGTAAATAAATAAAAACGTTTTCACCAACCTCCCCATTTTTGGGCAGAATATTCAACTCAAGGTATCCGTGTCCAATGTATTCTTGTGAGTAGTCGAATCTGAATTTTATTTTTGAAAAAAGAGTAGCAACAGGCTACAGAATTCACTAATGATATCGAGTTCATGTAGAAATGTAGTTGTGAGGGTCATCTCGCTTCTTCAGTTCTATGCGCTAGAGGGCACCGAATGAGGTCTAGCCGGTTCCGCAAGCTTGTAATGGCGCTTGAAAACGTTTTTGGCTAGGGAAATACAGTTTTTTCTAGCTAACTTTCAGTACGAGAAGAGCTCTCGGTTAGGTATTTGACAACTGATTCATTTCTTATCAAAAGTATGAGCGGTAGCGCGTTGTACACTGATCCCGCATAGAAATCGTCACTAGAGACCCGCAAAGCTGGCTAACCTTCCTTCTGTGCAATCCAGCGCCTTGTATTGAAGAAGAAGGTGCTCACATTCAACTATGCAACCGAGCTTACGAACATAGAATTTGAAGAACAACGATACCCATACGACTATCTGACGTTCCGACAATGGCTCCAGACGAAGTAGGATATGCTTTAAGGCTACAGCGTCTTGCTTATGCGATTTAAACCGAGCAAGGCAAATTTATACCGATAATCAAAAAAGATGATCACAAAATGAAGGATTGACGTTGGTACCCCCAAAAGTCGAAAATGGAATCAAAACCGGCGAAGGGGTTTGCTTGGAAGGGGAGTTTGTAGGGTAGGTGCAGCTAACCTACTGCGAGTGATCCTTGAGGCTCAAACCTACTGGGAGTGATCCTTGAGGCTCACTTTGGACATCGTGATCTCAGTGTGGGATTTGCCCTACGGTTTTACGTTCGCTGTTCGCTTGCTCACATCGCCTTTGCATCGTAAAAGAAGTATGTTTCATGGTCTTTGAAGACCACTGCTGTGCATAATTTTCCTCTAGCTGTGATCAATTTGAACTCGCCTTGGTTGATTGGCAAGACTTTTCCTTACAGCTGAATATGCTCCATCGCAGGCTATAACCAAATCGGCTTTCACGACGATATCGGTTCCCTTTGCACTGAAAAGTTAATGGTGAATTTGGAGAATTAATTATTCAGATTTGACCTTCCTACCTGCTTGCGGATTGCCCTGGCCGAGGTATCCGTGAACCTCCAATGCTGAAAAATAGCACTCGTTAAAACATAGATAGTGGCCCAATACACCTAAAATTCGCCAACATAGACATCTGCAGCCAATCTGAGCCACAGGGCTATGCACTCCCGAGGTGTGACACATGATCGCGCAGTGCATAGCATCACCACGTTTTTTTTGAAGTCAGGGAGCGGCTCGATAGAAAATTAGGCGTACCCATAAGAGCGAGGATTCAATGCTCCTCATTTTCAGAGGATGTTGAGATAGAAGTAATCACTTACAAGGAAACATGCAATTCCTTCTTGTCTAGATCGACACTTCGGACCTTGTGCTCGAAAAAGAATCTGAAATTGATTCAGAACTGATCTGATCTCATTCGCATCCTCTCTTTCGATTTTCGACATATATGAAAAAAGGAACGACTCGTCAAAACTTCCTTACCGCACTTTTTTGCTGCTTTCTGCTTGAGTTATCAGCACCTCATTCAAATGTCGCCGGTTTATCGAGACGATATGCTGGAAATGTGATAAACCTATTATACATACAGGTGATAGGAAGGGAATTATGGAATTCTGATGCACTGAAAGTGAAGCAACTGAGGGTGAGGGAAATGTGTAGCTCCTTCCTACCTCTCCTGGTTGTCCGTACGGCTGACGACTGAATGTTTTACCATCGATATTGTGGACCAATCGGGCATACAAGGCAACACCTAGGAAGATAGAAAAATTAGAAATGAATCGTTGTGGACTAGATCGCCTCACACGTTAACCTATTGCATGGGATAACCTAGAAACATCAACAGTGAAGTAAAATTTGTAAAAAGGAAAAAGGATAAAGTTTTTGGCGTTAATCAATCCAGTCTGAGCGGGATGCACCCCCGCGCTCGACTTCTGTTGAGAATCGTAGTGGCGTAATGAGTGCGTATGTGGCCTATACAATGACTTGCAATGACCAGCCGATGTACAAGTCAGTGCGTTTATCCTCCCAGACGGGTATGTTTCCAATTAACCGACCCCGGAGAGATGGAAGGCTTGGTTGGCCTTGGCTGGCATCGATCCGGGATTCGAACCCTTTGACCATGCGTGTGAGATAGTGCACCACTTGCCACTACACCACTTCCACCCAAAATTTGTATAGTGGCGTGAATTGTGCAGGTTTCGCAAAGTCTCGACAAAAATTTTGCCCTTTTTCCTGAGATTTTCGTCAATTCTCAGAATCTACAGTATTCTGATTAATTATCGTACAAAGCAGTTTCTGTCTCCCAGCAAAACAATTTTTAATCAGAGGTAATCGGTGGTTATCGAGTAGTATTACTGAACGTTCCCTGCAGGAAATTTTCTATTACTTGTTCTTCAGTTTTGAATTTACTTTTTTAGGAATCCAAGCAGTCTCTATATTTCCGAGTACGTCCTCGGCGTGACCTATTGCTATAGCACATTGCCGTGACATACAATGTTATCGCAGTACTCCACACTCAACTTACACTCTTTACTGGCAACTTATGTTGAATTACCTTGAATTACATAGACATTTTGAAGACATTTAAAAAAAATGTTTCGACATTTCATGAAAAGACAAAATTTTCCTCAAACGTACCTTGCTCAACAATGTAGTCTTTCAATCCAACCTCTTCGAGCGCACACTTTCCCCTTTGTGATAGCGCCAGGTTGATGCTACGGCCGGGCACATGGTCCATTGTTCGTATGTCTTAAAAAATAGAATTCATCAGCAGTGACACTTACGAGGAGTCCATTTTTCCTTATTATTTTTGCTATGATGTACAGTCCGGGAGAATATATGGTTAAGCTGCATAACTGATACTAGGGTGATTAGGTAAGTTGGAAATATTTGAATACCATTTACTAGCCGGGACGGTAAACAACTATTTATTTACTTCCCACCATTTGAAATCCTATCAGTCGTTAAGTATCCACAGAATCATCGCTGAACCGCCGGCATGGCAAACATGCGAAAAAAAGCTAATTAGGGCTCCTGTGCTGATATGAGGTTGGAATCAAAAAATGACTTGATGTGGATCGACGAAGGAGGTGTCGCTTGGGAGTTGAAGAGGAACCAAAGAGGAACCCAGAGAAATATGCCAAATTGTCTCGCACTTTGTTACGATGCAAAAAACATGCAAGTCGAAATTCTCAGTCTGAAACTTTAAAAAAGTTATATATCATTACCTCGTCTGTATTCGTACACTTCCACATCCCAACCACGTTGTGCAAAGTAGCATGCGTTCAGGGCACCAACTAGACCAGCTCCAGCTATAGCAACTTTAGGCATCTGAGATTTATTGGATTAAGTAACCTTGTAAAGTCCATCGATTCAGAGGAAAGGAACGAATAACGAAAAACATTTTCTTCATAAATAGCTGAGTACAGAACCCGATTTACTCTCGGGAAAAATGCTTTCGAGTTTTTAAAGGCAAAAGGTTCTTGGGTAGGAGTAAATAGGACAGACTTAACAAAAGACAGTTCTATTTTACGATTTAAGGGCACAGCTGCTTAAAAAAAAGTCACAAAAAATCATGAGAAGGGAGAAAGTGGCATGCTATGGGTGTTTAGGATTATCTACACAAGTTAATACAAAACGTTTAGCATTTTTATTTGTCTCAATTCCAAGGCTCACAAATGAGGGTTACCCTCTACCCTCACGACCTCAAGACATCTGACGAGCAACACCAATGTACCGCAGTTTTACGGGTAATCTAAATCTCTTCATGATCCCGATAGGTTCGAAAGGGAAATGGACATCCTGTATTTTCTATCGACAAATCGTTTCATGCCAAAGTGCTACTCTAGCCAATAGCTCAATTAAAAACTCTCGCAGAAATCGTTGAGTCTGAGTGCTTGATTTTCTCACGTCAAAAGAATAAGGAAAAGGAGAAAATCGGAAGAAAGTTTAGAAGAAAGAAGAAACAGAAAAGGAAGACGAATGGAACTCTTTTATACTCTACTAGTTGGAGATGTTAGGGTGGGAACTGGGAGTACACACTCTGATAAATACACAGAATCCGGTACATAGAATGAACCATCAAAAACACAGAATAGGCCGATGCGTTCCTGCGTACAAGGTGTGCTCAGTACCCCATTAGGATATAAATTGATGCGTGCGATTGATAGCACTGAAAGAGTACATGACTATGTTGACTTATATTTTACAACTTTACAAAGGCCATTTAGAGTTAATGCGTCCCCACCACTGCTGGAGCAAGCCTGAATCAGGTGCCGTCTAGTCTCAGAGATTGCAACCACAATACTCAGATGAACTCCCTAGAGCATCGACAATAACGTTTCAAAAAAAAAAGATTTTCTGGGTATATTCTTGGCTGCTTTATTCTGTTCTAAACAACTGGAATGATATATAGTCATTTTGTCACAGGCTTGATCGCACGTAATAGAAAGAAGAGGCATCCTGTCACAGACACCTCTTCTTTACGTTGATGAGACCCAGGAGTTAAGAAGTTGTGACAGTATTATTGATATATTGAATGCAGTTAGAAGAAATGGTGAAGAATATAGAATTGGGTAGAAGAAAGCGGGCAAACCAAATCAGGAAAGGGTGGGCCACCAGCTTAAATGCGCAGTCTTCTTAATGTCAAGCAATAAAAATCAAGCTGAACATGAAGAAAATTAACAAAATTCCATTGCATCTAATCCATATCTCGGTTTTGCAATCTGATGTGAAGGGACGTTCAAGAGCGAGAGAATGGTGTCCCCATTGAATCTCGCGCTCTTGTAGAATCCTTGAAACGGGGATATCGTAAGGATTCGGTAGGGGAAAAATCGCCTTTTCGTCATGGCAAGACATGGTCCCAAAGCGGCAATAATTCATCAGGGCAACTACTGGAATTTTGTGGTTCCTATTTAATTTGATTATTTATGTTCGCTTAAAGTTTTCCAATGACGATACACAAAGAGCAGTTGTAGTAGGACAGCCCCGGACATGAATTTGGTGCCTACATGGGTTTACAGGCTAGGAAGAGAAGGGAACCTAAAAATGTTAGCTAAAGTGAGACGATACCGATGATCGATGACGAGGGTAAAAGTACAGGTGTGGCGAAATGCTAAGAGGATTGTACGCTTGCATAGAGCCGCCGCCAACTTCACCACGCAGTTGTTGTCCTACAGACATGTGCAGAAGAGCACAGTTGCGAAGCGGTTTGCCTATGGGGCCTAACTTTGAACAGGTGGACGAGAATGACTGTGAAACCGAATATCGCCCCAACTACATAGGAAGTGTGAAAAGTGGAAGCAACTTTTCATGCTTATTGTATTGGAAGTGTGAAAAAAAGAGACTGAGCAGTGGGCAAAGGAAATATGGCAGCGTGGTGAAGAAAATTCGAATTATAGTCATTAAAATACTACGGTTAATCTGAATGAATGAAAAAAAGAGTAAAACGTAGACCGCATTCACGGACAAATTCGACAGCGGATTTGAATCAAGCACGTCTAATAGCTGTGAGGAACTGAAGCTCCCAAAATAGGGCACATTGTGCCATTCTTAAGCAGGCAAGTGTAGGAGGGAAGAAGCTTTCTCAAGCAGTCGCTTGATTTCAGGGCATTATTTCAAATTTTTGCTATGTCGCCTATAGTAAATATGTTTGCTTACATAGACATGGTGAAAGGAAGCTGCCGTCACGGGTCGTAAGGCGGGGTTTGCATGGTGGGCGGAATTGCAGGACTAGACTGATAAGCTTAGCTACTCAGTGTGTAGCTCAGTGTGGGTCCGTTGAAAGATAAAAAATTTCGATAAAATTAGACCTTTGAAGAGTCCGAGATAAATCTTACTGAATTGAGGTGGGGGATTTTATATCAACAATTGGCTGATAACTAACTAACTATATGAAAACTAAACAGTACGCAACGTATGTAATGCTGTATGAATTCGCTGAGGTTTTGGATTGAACTCATCTCCTTCTCAGACTTTCTATTACAAATTAATGGAGGATTGCAACGTTGTCCGGATTGACCTCTGCAAAGGGGTGAGTCACTTCCTCTTTGTAAAGTCCTAGGTTGACTCAACGAATCCAGTCACAAGGAGTTGCATAGACTACGTCCCCACAATTTCGATTAGATCCTTCCTGAGAAGAAATCCTCAGGTCACTGAAGTGTCAGCAAGCCCTACAAATAGATGAAAATACCCTGCCCTTGCCGTTTGTCCAACATTTGTTGACTCCCTGCTCTACTGCTGAAACCACGAACACCAGGTGCACCAAAGTTCAAGAATGTGCTCAGAATATCATTGCGAACAGTTGAGGTGGTTTCCGAATACCGAGAAAATTAGAAATAGAAAGAGAATAAACTCAATCTCAAAAGGCGGGTTTGTAAAGCGTTCTTCGTAGTGAATCTACTTGCCATTAATTGTAATGACAAAAAACATCCTATAGGTGATTGATACGATGAATCGAAGGAGGTGTTCGATGGCACATGACATTCTATTGATTTCGTCAGTAACAGGACACTAATTGTAAGTTTGTTAGACCACTCCAGTCAAGAGCTATGCGCCTGAAATTGAAAACATGTGTTGCGATGAAAAAAAAGTGTAACGGGGTCACAGCCAGCCAAAGTGAGACAGAACGTTTATCACTGAGATGATGATTTTTCATGTGAGCGACAAAACTTAAAGAAATGTGAACGGTATGACTTGGACGAGTCCAACTTTGCAGAGAAATCTCGACAAATGCTTCAATTTTAGAAAAATATCGTTCATAAAGGTTGAAAAAGATCTACCACTACAGATGAGGGGAGCCGAGAATTATACAATTATTTAGCCTAGCTGATAGCCAGCCAGATCACAGTATAATCCACCTGTCTGCCAGATTACACTGGTTACTGCAACAAAGAACTGGTTGGTTGAAATCTCAAGTATCTAGGACTCGAGCTAGAAGAGAGAGAGGCAGAACCTGTATATACTTACGTAGTCTAACAAAGACCCAATCTTTGATTCAGACCACTATCTGGAATGATTGGTCTGATTATTTTGGGAGTCTTCCCTCTTCTTTTGGGAGAGACAAGTTTTCAGGACTGATGGTAACTTTTACAAGTTGGATGGAGATAGGTACGTAAGTATATTCGGGTAATTAATTTTAGTAAAAGTGCCGAAGGTGTTCCTGAGTAATAATTGCTTTTCAGATCGATCTGATATCGTTAATTAGCCAATTATAAGGGAACATTCATGAACATCGGCGGGACTGGGACTAGTTGACCTTCAGATTTCAAGAAAATGAGCCTCCAAAAAATTCAAATGAAAAAAAAACGATAGAACACGTGAGGGCGTATTGTTTTTGTAGAATACCTAGGCGTAATCGTGGTGCATCCGAACTTACAGACGGCCACGACTACAACAACTGCTGATGGTGACGACATGACTCTGTGAAGTCTTGGTGAGTTCAGGTCTCAATACTCATCCATCCCCTGAAACAGTTGATCTCCCTCATCCTATACTTAACCTAGAGATTGAGTTAACCTCTACCTACTAATCTTAACTTTCCCTATGGCTCATAACATTCCCTGTCACATGGGAAAAGTAGCTGATTGATATATGTAGCTACAACGTTGCCGCATCTTTACTCATTCACCTCTTGGCACATGCCCTGGACTGTTTGTGTAAAAGCCGTTAAAGTTAGTTAAAGCACAAAATGGTATATAGCTGTCTAACAATAAGAAAACGGTATATAGCAGCGGATTCCTGCAGCCTCAAATTTCTCTGGTTGTAGGAATATAAAGGAAAGAGGAGATATAAAAAAGAGGACAAACTTGAAAGAGTGCTGCCGGAGTCCTATGACCTATTGGTAAAAAAAAAAGTCACTGGAAAAAAAATCGGTTTGGATGGAATTGCTCGGACAATGATTAGCTCGATATGTTCTCATCGAGAGAGGTGTGTCCCATAAATCTTCTTGAATGTTATGGTAGATGAGCTCGAGATAAGAAATGACGGAGGCGGGGAGAAGACAGGACAAAGAAGAGAGGTCGGTTACTCTCTTTCAGACTCTCCCCAGCTCTATAAGGAGAGGCTACCAAGTCATGATATAGAGATCGTCCCCTCATCAAACTAATACTTTGCGCATGAAAATTCCTCAGAAGAAGGTTTCACAACTCTGGTCTGAGTTGTAAGACCCAACTATTTGAAAGTAGAAAAACAAGCGGTTATTGGTCTGATATCAACTGAACTCTGCTTCTTGTTGACTTTGCAGAAAACTGCTGATACCAAGTTTACTTATGCATTTGAGTGGGAGATAGTGGGAACATGAAGTAGCTGACTCAGAATGTAAGACGCACAGA